AAAACAGATCATTCAGCCAATGATAAGAAACATATTCCTTATCCAGCAAATACTTTTTAATTCTTATATATGGAAATATCTCTTTGTTGGGGAGTAAATATCTTTGTTGAAGTAAACCGAAGGGCATAAACTTTCCGTCTTGTAAAACGTCTGAAATTTTTTTGGATCCCTAAAGTTTTCCATGTTTGTAAATTTAAATCAGTTATATCATAAGAGAGTATTTACAGAGAGGCTTCATAAGGTATTTTATATTTCAGTAAAAGATTTTTCTTTAGTTTAATCAGAGTAATAATCATGTCATTTATTATTGGGCTTAATATAGGCTTATTTTTTACTGTCAAATTAGGCCAAAAAATCTTCGATATTTCCCATGAGCCCATATTTTTTTTTTTCGAAATAATACCAAACTGACTGTTTAGTTATCAGATTTAAACTGAGAGTGAAGTGACTTAACATTACTACTTCATGTATTACATAGTTACATAGTTACTGAAAAGAGACTTGCGTCCATCAAGTTCAGCCTTCCTCACATGTAGGTGAAATAAGTTGGGAAATGCCACTCCTCCATCTTTTTTAATTCTAGTTAAGATATTATTTGCTATTCTTGAATGTTTTCCCCTCCAAATATATTCTTTAAATAAAGTGGCAAATTTGCCCAATAAATTAGGTATAACCCTTAATGGAATAGTTCTTAATAAATAAACATTTTTTATAAATTTTTATTAATTTTTGTTAATTACATTTATCAGGCCAACTAAAATTTCTCCAATCCTTTACGAGAACGAAGATATGATGTCAAAATGTTCAGTAGCTCTGTGTTGTTAAAACGCTACCATACTAGATATATTCAGTTTAATCTTTATACCCAGATAATTTATGTAATTTTTTTCCCCAATCAAATTGATATTTAGATTTAATCAGTTCTAGTTCAATATTACAAATAAACTTTGTTAAAATTTGAGACTTTTGAATATTAATATTGTAATTTGAAACTGTACTAAATAAATTAATTGATGTAATGAGAGCATCAATTGAATTTATGGGGTCTGTCATGGACAGAAGCACATCATCTGCATGTAGTGTTATTTTTGAGTTTTTCTTTGCATACCTTGAATCTTTTTGTTTGCCTCTTATTAAGATGACTAATGGTTCAATTGAGAGTATATAAAGCATGGGGGCCAATGACGAGTTCCATTTGAAATAGCAAGCCAATTTGACTCAATCATTGGCCCCATTACTTTAGTGTTGGGTTAGTGTATAATGACATAATATTATCTTTAATTTGACCTATAAACACAAATGTCTCAAGAAATAATCTTGGGAATGATCAGTTTAATACGATTTGCTATAATTTATGAAAATATCTTTCAATCTAAATTAATTAAAGATATTGGTCTATAATTGGAAACTATTGTTGGATCCTTTCCCAATTTCAGGATTGGAGATATCGTGGCCTGAAGCATCTCACAGCGGATACCAATAGTTGAAAAATCTTTTTTTTTAATACAATTTTGCTGAGTAGTCATCGGGACCAGGTGATTTACCAATTTTTAAATCTGATATAACCTTTAGGATCTCTGAGTATGAAAATGGTGCATTTAATTTATCTAAATCTTAATAATTTTAATTTTATTTGGGGGTCTTCATCAAGATTATGAAGTTTTTCATAATATTTAGTGAATGTTTCTGCTATATCTTTGGGAGCATATACTGATCTATTATTAATAATCAGTTTAGAGATAGTTTTTTGTTTTTTATCGTTTCTCAGTTTATTTGAGAGGACCTTCCCTACTTTATTGTTATTATTATACCATCTTTGTTTCAAGCAAAGAATGGCCTTGTTTTATATTTACAAATTTGAGTCATATTTGTGTAATATAATTCTATTATAAGTAAATAAGAGAATATGTGCTTGGCCTTATATTAGCCCTTTAAAAAATGAACTTGATTGCATTATTTAAGTATGTATCAGAATATATATTTGTGCCACTTCTAATTCAAATTTTAAAAATCTATAGTGGTTTTAGTGTTTGCAGATGGCAAATTTGACCCTATCAAAGGGAAAGGGAGGATAAAAAGAGAGAAAAAAAAGTTCTTTTTTAAAATTTCTTCAATTCTCAAGTCTTCTTGACAATATTCCATAAGTTGAGTTTCTCTCAGAGATCTTTAGGGTCCGAGAAAGAGTATGTACCTCCATTATGAGAAAATGTTATTGCCGTTGGAAAGGCTCATCTGTATCTTATTTGGTTAGATCTCAGATTGTGTGTTTGTTCTGAAAATGTAAATCTTGTCGTTCTATTTGCATAGGAAATATCTCGAAATATTTTGATACCCATATATGTGTCTCCAAAATCTTTCTTCTTTATTGCTGCTTGGGCTAATAATTGTTTTGTATAATAGCTAGAAAAACGTACTAAAGTGTCCTTTGGTAGCTTGTTGTCTGTTGTTTTGGAAATAGTAAGTCGATGATATCTCTCTAATGGGTGTTCTAGTTTTTTTGGAGCTATTAAAGATTCAAAAAATGCTTGTAGATATAGTTCAAGATGTTCATTGGAGATGTCTTTGCTTGTCCCTCGGATTTTTTTAATTCTTTCTTTTTCCTCTGTCTTCCAAGTCTGTTACTTTACTTTCCAGATATTTAATTCTCTTATTTGTTTGTTTGTTTTCTGTTTGGAGAGTATTGTAATCATATTGAATTTTATTGAGCATATCTGCTTGTGTCGATAAAGCTGCTTTAAACTGAGAGACTTCTTTCTTTACATCTTGCATATTGGATTCAAAATCTTGTTTAATTTTTTATACATTCCTTCCAATAGTTCTGAGATATTTTGTTGAGGTATAGCTGGTTCTTTAAATGAGAAATCTTCTTCTGTCGTACTAGAAGTATGTTGGTCTGTTTCCATTTGAGAGGCTGACTGCTCATTAACTTGAGATCTTGGATTTTGAAATTGTTGACTTTGGAGAGTAAAAGGTGTAAATTTTCTTACTTGTAGTAGTTGTGGTGGAATTTTTGTCTTTATCCTTCTTTGGGGCCATATTATATTTTCTTCATCTTTTATTATGAGGATAATTAGTCTTATTTCGTTCGAGAGTTAAACTAGCTAGCCTGATTATTCAGCACTATAGTTAGTGGTTATAGTGTGTGTTTAATACAGTGGATCTCACTGGGTTTGAGGCTTCACTATATTTTACCTTTATCTTTGCTTATTCGTTAAGTTTATTTACTCAGCTTATTATCTACTGGTATTTGTTTATCATTGAATAGGTTCTTCAGGATATATTTGAAAGAGGTAGATTTTAGTTATAGGGGGATAGGTTTCTTCAAGAGATTCAAAAATTCTCTTTTTTTACGAGAACAGTCTATAGAAGTAGTTTGTAAAGATATGTATTTTCCTTTTTTCCCCTTTTTTCTTTTCCTTTCCCTTTTCCTTTTCTTCTCCCCCCTTTTTATAACCTTTTTCTTTTTTTTCTTTTCCCTTAAATCCAACTTTGTTTTTAAGTGCCTTTCTCCTTTCCTTTTTTTCCCTTTAATATTTGTTCCCTTTATTTTTTATTTAATATCTTCTTTCATGTTATTTCTTTTCAGCTTTTCCCCCCTTTTTTTACAGCAATTAGCTTGCTTTAAATTAGCACATATACATCAGTACATATACATCAATGCATATATTGAATTCAGAATTAAATTTTAGCTTTACCATATTCATCTGTGGCGATTTAATCAACGTTTTGATATGAACCAGCAGAAGGTTACCACAGTTAATTTATGTATATGTCGTATTTATCTTCACCTTCTATTTCTTTCCCTTAATAACTCTCTTAGTATCTTGTTATTCCTCTCTGTTTTTAGTTAATGACTTTTATCCCACCACTCCTTTTCCTTCATTAACCAACTTTAAATACCCCTTTACTTGTCTGCTTGCCACATGTCTTGGTCTCGTTTCATCGAGTTCAGCGCCTATTGCTTCCTCCGTGGGACCCAGTCTGAACTTCCTGGCTCCAAAGTACGGTCTGCTTATACCTGCTCTCAGCGCTTCCCTGTTACACTCCTCCACCTCCAGTACACTGATGTAGCGTCCTCGCCCCTCTTCAATTCAGAGTACCAGCTCAGTATCAGCTCAAACATATGAGACTCTCGATATGTCCTGCTCGTCAGATCAGTAAGGCTCGGTGTTCAAGCCGCAAGCTTGCGAGTGTGGGAGCGTGCGAGAGTGCAGCGTCATTTAAAAAAAATTTTTTTTTCAATAAATACATTTTATTCAGATTCTCCAAAGTAGGGTAGAAAACCAGTGCAACGCTTTTGGTAATTATTCCATCAGAGTTCAGATAGCTGCAGTAAACGATAAGCTTGATGGAACACAGCAGTCGATACAAACATAAGCACATTTACACACAGTGTGACAAAATGCAGGGAAAACTCTGTCAATAGGGACTTGAAAAGATTAAGAAGAAATAATGAAGCAAAGATGGGGGGAGTGAATTTAATTTTTAGATTAAAATAGTTCACTTTGAATTCTCTGCAAGTCACACTTTAGAAAATTACTCTATGTATGTTTACTATTTATTTAAAAATTTTTATTTTAATTTTTAAATGTTTTTTTTTTTTTTGTGCAGGTGAGTACAGATCATCGTCAGTATGCCACAACAGCGTACACAGAAACATATAGGCTAAACAGTGGCATGAATAATTGCAAATTTTTATGTAACGTGAACAAGCTTAACGTAACTGACATGTCTCGGTAGTGAGTAGACGGGTAGTCGAGAGTAGAGAGACATGCTTACGGTTCAAAGGTAAGTTAACTTAAATAAAACATGTATAAATCAGGCTAGGTCTTGTTGCTAAGAGTTAAAGTCCATAGGAGACCCCCCGCCATCTATATGAAGGAGTATATCAAGAGAATGCACAGCTTGTAAGTTACTTGCAGGCATACAATCTTGCTACGACAACCAAATTTCAAAGGGATTGAGCAGTATTTGCAAGGTAGGTTATGAAGTGGTGCAATTCAAAGGTTGGACTCACTCCCATGATCCCGATTAACCCACTCCTTGTATGGGCAAAGCACAGTCCTGTACTGATGATCTGCAGCTTGGGCTAGCCATGCCACTTGGAGACAGACTCTTGTTTCTGGGTTGGGGGTAGTGGGCGTTGTCTTCAGGTGCTTTTTGCCTTCCGAGAAGCCCTTAATTACCACCTTCATGGCGGGCTCCTGCCTGTTCTGTCTTCCGATGCGGATTGGTGTTTGAGGTAAGTGAGCGGTCTTTCGGTCAGCCTTACTAGGGGGACTTTGTGGTGAGGCTTCAGGCTTGCTCTCCGGGGCTATGGGGTGTAGGCGTGCTTCTAACCTCGCCCAGAATGCGTGGAAAGTCTGGTCCAGCCGGAGCTCTATATCGGACTTTTTGCCTCCAGGACTTAGGGAGCACGCTGCCTCCGCCATTTTGGGAGCAGTGCTGCCACTCGGTTTGGACCCCTGTGGCTCTGCCGCACTTTCTCCGGCTCTCATGTGACCCCAGCCTGTCCAGAAGGGGGAGAACGAGGGCCATGTGTGTCAGCGAGGGAGCGGCTGTTTCCCATGTGCCGATCAGGCTTGTAGGCCGCACAGGAGGACCATTCTGTGCACCATAGTGTCACCTATCCCCTGGTAGCTTTTCTACATGGTTATGGTCTCGTTTTGTTGCGACTTAGAGCAGGAGCTGCTGGAGCATGCTTCCACTCGGCTCAGCGGTCAGGCCCCACACCTGTATGTTTACTATTTTAATACAGGTTCTTCTAAATTTCCCATTAAAGTAGTAGTTTTATTTATGATCATGATAATAATAATAATAATAATATAAAAAATTAGCTTCAGGAGATACATCGCAAATATTGCAATAAATGTGATTTAGAATTAATACCTGTTCACACACCATGATATAAAATATCTCCTTTGTACATGTGTAGTTGACACAGGTCATCACCTTTTTATATGTTATACAAATTAGCCTATCCCTGGATTTACAAGGACGTCTCCAGTGCAGTGTTTACTGCTAATGGATTTAGATGTGATCTTTCGTCTTTAAATTGGATTGTTACATGGGCAATTTAAACCTGTGATTCTAGTTGATTAAGTTATCCTTTCCGCCAACACTTTTTTTTTCTTTTAGTGCTTGCTGTATTTTGGGGATTGTTTGGAAGCGAAGCTGTGAAGAGGTTATCAAATGCAATTATAGTCACAACTACAGTCAACTCTGCAAAGTCTATATATAAAAACAAGAATAGTTTTCAGTAATTCCCCAAACTGGTAGAATTAGAGGGATTATATCAAATAATACGGTGTTGTTACCAGTATATGATTATAGCCGACTGAAACGGGGGACAGGAATGACCATATAACTTGTCCACTATCCCCCCCCCCCCCAAACAGTGAATATGCAGCTGTAACCTTTCTTTTATTATAACTTTATTTTTCATGGTGCTTATTGACTGTCACAGTTTGTACAATCTGTAGATGCATTACAGTACCAAGACTGCCAGCAATATATTACTCATACTGTGTTTAAAGGAACACTATAGGGTCAGGAATACAAACATGTATTCCTGACCCTGTAGTGTTAAAACCACCATCTAGACTCCCTGGTCGCTCCTTGCCTCCCTAAATATAGTAAAATCTTGCTTGTATTCAAGTCTGCAGCTCCTGGCTCTGCCCCTGTCTGCCTCTGAACTGCATCTGACCTCTGACATTATCAGAAGTGGTGGTCTGAGCCAATCACAATGCTTCCCCATAGGATTGGCTCAAACTGTCAAGGATGCAGATCAGGGGCAGAGCCAGCACAAGACAAACACAGCCCTGGCCAATCAGCATCTCCTCATAGAGATGAATTGAATCAATGCATCTCTATGAGGAAAGTTCAGTGTCTGCATGTAGAGGATGGAGACACTGAATGTTGTGATGCATACTAAGCAGGACTGCCCAAGGATGCACCTCTAGCAGCCATCTGACGAGTGGCCAGTGGAGTTATCGCTAGGCTGTAATGTAAACACTGCGTTTTCTCTGAAAAGACAGTGTTTACAGCAAAAATACTGATGGGAATGATTCTACTCACCAGAACAATTGCAATACGCTGTAGTTGTTCTGGTGACTACAGTGTCCCTTTAAAGGAACTCCTGTCTGCTCTTGGCTTCAGTACAGGGGCTTTTCAATGAAGGTGGGGAACGTGAAGAGGACTTGCAAAGGCTGTAGACAGATTATCTGTAGATTTGCTAGCTGTTTGCATATATACCCATAAAAAAATTCAGAAAATTATACAAAATTGTTAATAATTTATTTTATTTTGAGTTTACATCTTATGCAAAACTGTGAAGGCACAGCCTGGCTTAGTATGTAAATTACTCGAATTCCATGATGCTGCTCACATGGGTCACTTTACCTTGTGTCCATTGGTTGAAACAGACATAAAATATTAATCAGTTCCATACAAGTCTAATAAACGTGTTTTGCTGATTTTTTTAGTATCCAGAATATTACAATTGAAGAATAGGTCACTGTGCTGATTTTACAATTGAAGAACAAGTATCCAAGCTAATATCATGTATAGAAAATTGGTTATGTGGTTTTTATTCAATAAAAGGTTACGAGTCACTAGTGTCTCTCTCAATTCTAACAAACAGTAGGCTGGTAATACAAAGAAAACACTACCTGAAATATAAACGTACACACACAAAAAGTTATGTTTGTTTCTGTTAAGCCATCTGCAGAAATATTAACCTTTTTTTGTCGCTGTTGAAAGATACCTGGTCAGCACAAATTAGAATGCTGAGCAAACATTGCCTCAAATAAGCAAAGCAGCTATAGAAAGGAATATTGTGCCAGTGAGAGGGTGAGGTTGAATGAGGATAGAACTATGCATAAAAAAACAGATACACAGACAGACACGTATATCTCTGATAACACAAATACAAATGAAGTTTGTGAATTGTACTGGAAATGACAAGTGTTTCCGTATGAAAAATGATCTCATCATATATAAACAAATGTTTTAAAGCAATAGATCCTTGCAACATGCACTGTTATGGATTACTTTACAAATGCCAACGAGCCAATATTTTTAAAGGAACACTACAGCGTTAAGAACACATATGTTTATTCAAAATGTTATAGTGTCTGTTTAAGTAACTAGGCCCTGCTGCAAGGGTTAAAACAGTGAGTTTACTTATATTTTCTTCCTTGCTACGGTGGTCTCTGGCGTGTCGCTCCGCCTCTTTGGCTGAGATCATGGACATCGATGATTTCTGCCAATCCAATGCTTACCCTTAGAAAAGTATTTAGAGGCTAGTTCACATATGCTGCTCTGCACCAATCAGATGATCTCTCTGAGAAATAATGGCATTTTACACTGCTAATTAAGTGTAAATGCATAGTGACATCCACTAGAGGAAGTTAACGCTATAATGTAAATGGCTTCAGCTGCAGGGTTACAATGGAGGTATAGAGCATTAAGTGGTCTGGGTGCTTATAGTGTCCCATTAACCATTACATTACAAACTCTGGTACTCATGTAGTGAACTAAGTCTTCATAACTTATGTCAGGGAAAGACAAGGATGGATGGTTAGGGTTATATTAGTGCAAAGTATAACACGGTGATGTCACATGAGGCTTATCTGGCTGCATAGAACACGGTGATGTCGCTTAGGGTTATCTGGCTGCATAAAACACTGTAATTTTATTATTATTGGCTGGCTGGATAGAACACTGTGATGTCACATGAGGTTGTTATCTGGCTGCATAGAACACTGTGGTGCCATTTGATTATTACTGGCTGGCTGCAGAGAACACTGTAATGTCACATGAGGCTTGTTATCTGCTGAATAGAACATTGCAATTTGATTATTACTGGCTGCCTAAATAGAACACTGTGATGTCACATGAGTCTTGTTACCTGGCTGCATAGAACACTGTGATGTCACATGAGGCTTGTTACCTGGCTGCATAGAACACTGTGATGTTACATGAGGCTTGTTATCTGACTGCATAGAACACAGCGATGTTACATGAGGCTTGTTATCTGACTGCATAGAACACTATGATGTCATTTGATTATTACTGCCTGACTGAATAGAACACTGTGATGTCATTTGCTTATTATTTGCTGGCTGCATAGAACACTGTGATGTCACACAAGGCTTGTTATCTGGCTGCATAGAACACTGTGATGTCACATGAGGCTGTTATCTGGTTGAACAGAACACTGTGATGTCCCATAAGGCTTGTTATCTGGCTGAACACAACACCGTGATGCCACAGGAGGTGTGTTATCTGGCTCAATAGAACCCTGTGATGACATTTGATTTTCACTGGCTAACTGAATAGAATACTGACTGTGATGTCACATGAGACTTGCTATCTAGCTGCATAGGACACTGTGATGTCATTTGATTATTACTGGCTGCCTGAATAGAACACTGTGATCTCACATGAGGCTTGTTATCTGGCTGAATAGAATGCTGTGATATCACATGAGGCTTGTTATCTGGCTGCATAGAACACTGTGATGTCACATGAGGCTTGTTATCTGGCTGCATAGAACACTGTGATGTCACACAAGGCTTGTTATCTGGCTGAATAGAACATTGTGATGTAATTTGATTATGTCATTTGATTATTACTGGCTGCCTGAATAGAACACTGTGATGTCACATGAGGCTTGTTATCTGGTTGCATAGAACACTGTAATATCACAAAAGGGGTGTAATATGGCTCAATAGAACACTCAATAGAACACTGATGTCACATGAGACCATTAACAGAGCCAACACTGGCTAGTAACAAATTTAGGAAATCAGGCAAGTCATCTTATATCCACAATGCCTGTCAAGAAAACTCTATCCTAGATCATTTATATGCTTCTTGTGACTATGTAATTTTACAAAGAAATGCTTTCACTTCTAATACAATGCCTTTCTCATTGTTCTCAAATTGTATTTGTGTAGATTTACAGTTTTATTGGTGGGATTCATCTTCCAGTAATCTTGGTAGTACAGACACTCCTCACTTACCGACCAGGTTCCGTTCCTACGATCTAATCATAGAACTTGGTCAGTAAGTGAGGAGTTAAGGGATTCCCTGCTCTCCTGCGTTCTTCTATGTTTGGGGAAATGTCGGTGAACATAGACAAACGCACAAGAGCAGGGAATCTCTCTAATCTATGCTCGGGGAAATTTCCCCGAACATAGATTAGAGGGATTCCCTGCTCTGTTGCGTTAGTCTATGTTCAGGGAAATATCCCCGAACATAGAAGAACGCAGCAGAGCATCGAATCCCTCTAATTCCCAAAACGGCTTGCACCTACCACCCCGTGAAAGACCAGGTCGTAAGTGAGAGCCGTCGTAAAGCAGGTAGGTCGCAAAACGAGGACCACCTGTACTCTTAAAGTTGAATCAAAACATCTCAACTACTCCAAAGTATGCATATTTAAATAATAGTCCTGGTGTACCTAATAGTTGTGGTTTACCATCAGACCAACCATTTTCAAATCAATATATCCATTCAACTGAAAAATGTTCTGCTTTCAATCATTTCTCAGATTTGTTAAAAAATTTTTACTGTTGGTCTTTAGTGTTGGTCTTTTGTAAGGACCTCTTGGGCAGACTAGATTGGCCAAACAGTTCTTATCTGTCGTCACATTCTATGTTCTATGTTTCTCTGTATTATACTATTATATAAATTTATAAAAATATATATATATATATATATATATATATATTCTGGTTGTTATGGCACACCTCTGGTTGACCTGACTCTGTATGGAACATTCTGCATTTCTGGTATCCTTGACCCCTGCTTATTTAATCGTTTTATGAGTATTTCTGGAATCCTTGACCTTGGCTTACATTCTGACACTGTATCTAGGGCACATGTTAGGCCCAGCCACTCTAAGGTCCAATATATGTATCTTGCTATTTCTATTACTTCATACCAGCTGCTGTTTACTTATTCTTTGTGTGTTTAGGTTACCTCATCCTGACAGGCTTTTAGATTTAGATATATTATTATTATTAGTATTAGTATTCATCTGGGTTAAATACCCATTACACATCACTTTCCTTATAAAATAAACCTTTTGTGAATAGGATATTTATGTTTGAAGTGTCACAGTATACTAAAATTAGTAGAAAACAAATAAATAAAATGCATATAAATAGGATAAAACACAAACCAACACAAAACAAGGTGATTTGATATTTGCTGCAATATACAATCTAAAATTTGTGGTGAAAAAAGAAAAAATATTGAAAAAAAATATTTGGAAGTCTGTATTTTAAGAATTGTTAAAATAATTGTAATTAAATAAATAAGATAAAATGTTAGTATGATTTGTAAACAATGGTTTGTTGTATTCTTAAATCAAGGGAAATGGTTGATTCTGTACAGTATTCTGAACGTAATCGTTTATATTAAATCAATCCGAATAGCTCTGGTGCAAAACAACTTCTCAGGACCAGCCAGCATGAGTGATTAATCTACTGCAAACATGCATCTTTTTTTTGTTTGCTCAGCTCGGATTTTATTAAAGACACGGAGGCTCATATTATGCATAACTCTTTCTTTATTTCCTCAGCAGCAAAGAAAGAGAAATATAAATATTATCAAAACTGAAGAAAAAACTGTATAGGCACAACAGGTAGCCAATCACAGGGTATAGGAAGTAGCTATATAAGTCTTGTGTCTCCCACAATCCCCCTCTTTCTTTGCTGCTTCCTCAGACAGATAAGTGTTTCTCTGATCTTTGGCTTGCATTGTGATTCCATTTTAATTTGTATTACAGTGTGTTTCTTTTTATGATTTTTCATACTGTTTGTTTTACTCTTATTTGTTTTCTTATTGTTTATATTGGTTTGATGTTTTGATTTTGTTTTTCCCCGGCTGGTGTCTCCCCTCTGGGCCCGCGGGTGTGTCTCTGCCCCGTCCGGGCGGTCCCCACCCCTCCCCTCCACTCTCCCCTCTCCTACCCGTGTTTCTGCACGGGACCCGACCTGCTGTGCCGCGGCCGCGATTTCCTCGCGACCACGGCGGTGTACACGCTTCTCTCCTCCTCCCTCACTCCAGTTAGCGTGTCGGCTCGGCGGGCGGGTGCACGAGCCCCTTCCCCCGCCGAGTGTTTTCCTCGTGTGCCTTCCTCGTGCGGCGGCCATTTTGGGGGCGGTCTTTTGTATTCCTCCCAGTGCTGCCGTGCGACCGGCCACCTCGTAGCCCTGCTCCCTGGGGACACCAGCCAAAACGTTTGTTTTTTTCAATTTCCTTGTGGGTTAATCAACCCTTCCCTCTCTCTCCCAGCTAACACCCTGGTGTTATCCAGCCTGCTTTGTTTGTAGTCAGTTTGGTAACTATATAATTGCCATTGCATTATTATTTTACTTTAAATTCTCACTGTCTATTCTGTCACTGTCACTACCATGCAGGATAGGGGTGATGGGCCTGTTGGTCCCCCAGGGGACTTCCAATTAGATAGTACTGATGGTGCCATGGCCTCCCAAGAGTTTCAAGCCATGTTAGAGGCCACTATGGCTTCCTCCATTCAGAAGGCTATTGCCTCAGCCATGGGAGCTGTCTCTTCTAATTTCTCCCAGTCCCTGCACTCTCTGATTTTACCTCCCATGGCCACCCCTGCCCTCTCCCCTGCTCAGACTGTGCCTGGAGCCCGTAAGGCAAAGGCTAAGTCCAAACATGTCGGCTCCCACTCCTCGATGCAGGTTTTACCTGCCATGACTGACACGCCTGAGGCGGTCTCAGATAGCGCGCACCCCACGCGCAAAAGAGCCCCTGGCCGGGCTAAAAAGGCTAGACTATGGAAAAGGGCTAGAGCCCATGATATTGGGTCGGATACCGACCGGAGTGTGGAGGATGAGTCCGACGCTATGGAGTACGACTCCTTTGATCATGATGATTCTGGCGAGGATTTGCCCCTTACGGGCGTGAACCCCTCCGGGTCCTCCGCCAATACCCGGGGCCCCTCACTTGCTCCCCCGGGGGGTGACACCTCGATCCTTGACCCGCAGGGCAACCCCCTGTTTGACCCAGACGACCTACGTCATCCTCGGTCCGCCGAGTGGGTTCCCCCAGATCACATCGCCCAATATGTGGCTAAGCGTATCCGCACGCCACTTTCTAGGGAAGGCCGCAATAAATTGCGCGCCGAGTGCCCACGCCCGTCCCTCCCGGGCGCGGCTTGCAAAACCCCGGACATTGACCCGCAAATTGCTCAATTCCTGAATAAGTCAGGATGGAAGCCCAAGAAGGGCCTTGACCACTCTCTTTAAAGCTGCCAGGACAAGATCCTGGATACCCTAGGTCCCCTTTCCAAGCTTTACGAGCTTTTGGATGCTGCCAGGACCGGGGACTCCGTCCTGGACGTGGATGTGGCCGTTGGTTGGGTCCAAAGAGCTATTTGCTTACTGGGGAACGCCAATACGGCCATGTCTACAGAAAGACGCAAGGCGATCCTCCTGAAGATCGACCCTAAATTGGCCGCTATGACTGTGGCGGAGCCTGATCCAACTGAGGAGGGTCTCCTGTTTGGCACGTCCTTCGTTAAGGATATGGGTGCTTATGTCAAGACCTTTACGGCTATTGACAAGGCACAGGCGAACATGAAGCGCGTGTTCGCGCCTAAGGTTTTCGGAGGGGCCGGGCGTAGCAGGAACCGTCCACCCGGCCGTGGTTTCCGAGGCGCATTCCGCGCAACCAGAGGTTCCTTCTTTCCCTCGAGAGGATTTCAGGAACAGAGGGCCCCTCCCTTCTTCCCGGCAAGAGGTCGGGCCTGGGGATCCAGATACCCCCGCGGTGGTACCCCCAGCAGACATCCTTACGGTGAGTACCCTTTCTTCCCCTCACGCTCAAGTTCGGGTGGCGGGGAGACTGGCCCTATTTTGTCAAGAATGGGCAAAGATCACCTCAGATGCTTGGGTTTTACAATGTGTAAGGGGTTTCCGTCTGGAGTTTGTTTCCATGCCTGTCCAGTTTTATTTCCCCAGAGAATTGTCCCTCCCTCAGGAACAAGACGAGATGATTTCCACGGAAGTGGTGGAGATGCTGTCCAAGGGCGCTATAGAGGAGTTGCCGTTCGCCGCCCCAGGCTTTACGAGCAATTTATTCCTAGTGCCCAAGAAAGGAGGCGGAGTTCGCCCTGTCATAAATCTTCGCCCACTCAACGCTTTTCTACGCTACCAACACTTCCAGATGGAAGGTATACACTGCCTCAGAGACCTCCTACGTCAATCGGACTGGTTGGCCAAGCTAGACCTGAAGGACGCATACTTTACGGTCCCCATCGCTTTGGAGTTCCGGGATTATCTCCACTTCACCTGGCATGGGCGTCGTTGGCGCTTCACCTGCCTGCCTTTCGGTCTCTCCTCGGCCCCTTGGTGCTTCACCAAGCTCATGAAGCCCGTGGTGACATTCCTCCGAACCCGGGGGGTTCGC